ATGTTCATTATTTAGAAGTCTTTTAAATAGTCACTTTAGAACTGTTTTTATAAGACTCGTTATCTGAACCTAAAAGGTGCACCCATAGCACAGGATTCACAGAGCACTATGGGTTTCTAAAAAGATGAAACAGCAGAAGCAGTCTCTCTTCCTAACAGCTGTCTGGACATACCAGGTAAAGAGACTGAGGTAGGGGAGAGATGTCACTACTGTGACTTCATGACGAACCATGTATAGGTAGGGTGAATGTACCCAAGTGATTGATCAAACTTGGGTACAACTAGCCTTTCGGATTTTACATGCAACTATTGCTAGCAGCTATTATAACCACTAGCAGTAATTGATGTGTTCTCCCTGCAGGGGCAGCGCCTCCACACCGGTAGAACACAATGGCTCATCAGGAGGAATTCCCCCATCAACACTGACTGTGTTGATAGGGGAATTAAGTGATTCATCTATGGCCAACTTAAGTTATAGCTTGGGCTCTGTAAAACAGGCATTTTTCGTCAAAGCAGACCAAAAATGTGAATAGCATTTTTTTTTTGGAGAAGCATACAATGGAAACCCCATGTTTTTCTTACTTCAGGTTAATCTTAAAATGTATGTCCATGCATTAATCACATTTAATCAGAAGCTTCACTCAACTTCTGTAGTGCATGCACCAATATTTTATTCCTTCATCTTATTAAAGTTGTGATAAAACAAATTTATAACTTACGATTAACATGAGTACAATTCTTGTAAAATTACTTCAGGGGCTGCTGCTGAGAGCTCAATTCCTATTGATGTAGGCATGCGCAAGAACAATATCTCCCAAGAGCCCTCCCCCTACGCACAGTGCGTGGGTAGGCTCTTGGGAGTCAAGGCACCAGAAATGTTTTGCTGGGAGGGAAATGAATGTATGCAAGTTTAGTTGGGGGGTGATATGTGGAGTTCTGTAGGCTTCCAGGTGGAACTGACAAAGCTGCTTGGCTATTCCGTGTAGTAAATGTTGTCAATCCAAACAGGAATTAAGGATCCCACTGTATATATATATATATATATATATATATATATATATATATATATATATATATATATATAGCTGATCAATGGGTATTTTTTTTTGTCTAGAGCATTTAAAGCAATTGAGGATGTAAAAGCACTTTTGCAAAGGAGATCTATTAACTCACAATGGCCTTTAAATTGTTGCAGCAACCATTGAAAAATTCCTTCCTCATATTCTCATTTCTGGGGCTTGCATCCCCTGATTTCCTTTTCATAAGGCTAGTGGCTGCTATTCCCTTTCCATCTCCAACCATTGCTCATGAAAATGCCCATATATAATATTCTTCTATGAGTGGCAACTGCATTGCTGATCAAGTGGGAGTATCCTGACAGACTATGGCCCACCAATTGCAGAGGGTGACCGACAAGGAGACTCCTGGTATTTTTGTCTGAAAGGACTGGCTGGTTGTGAGACATTTTTTTTTTGTCTAGACATACAATTTGAGGATGTTTATATGAGAATTACAGATGTTGCAATTTATAAACCCTCTTTTAGAGAATGTGACCTCCCTGTCATGCTGAAGCTATGGCTTCACTACTTTTTCAGCTGCTGACCTTGAACAAGTATAAGGAAAAGGAATGCTGACACTTTTGTCACACTCACTGCATGATTGTATTGGGTCTGTGACTCAAAAGTAGAGCAGCTAAGCAACTAGCATTTTCTTTAGGAGGCCAACAATGGCAGCCCCAGCCACCATACTTCTTGAAGCGTCACTAACATTTAATTGCCAATTTGAGGTAGTGTCAAGGACCTCATCATGCATGCTCCCTTGGCTCCAACACAAAAAAAGTGGTAAAACTCCATGCAATTGTAAACCACATAGGTAATTTCTTTTATACGCTTATCTTTGTCTTGGCCACTATGCATGACAAAGCTGGAGACAATTCCTTCTTTAGGTAGAATAAAAGATGAGGCCTAGCAAAAGTAAACAAATTAGATAATAGAAAAAAATGAGAATAGTATTCTATTACTTACAATAACTATAGATAGACATTAAAACCATGAACATGAATAATTTTCTCATTTATGTCTAGCTGTTTGAATTTATAAAAGGTATGAAAGGACCATTATACAGTAAGAGTGTTGTTAACTATGCACGACATTATTTAATGACTCTCGCCTATCTATGAGTGTTTGTTTGGGACCTAAAGGAGCAATATAATTTGAAAATATAACAAAAAGTGGAAACAATGAAAAAGTTCTTGACAGCTACCAGTAAAATATGACTTTCCTCTAATATGTTTTCCATTATTTTCACTGCCTATTTCCCAACGACAAAACCACCCTGCTCCATTCACATAAAATATGAAGTTAATTTCAGCATTTATCACCTTAATTAGCTTTACTAAGTGCATCTTCATAAATTTCCACACACAAACTCTTCCAGAGGTACACAGGAACAATAACTATATCGCTGAAGACAAACTACCAAAAAAAAGCAGCTTTCAAAGCGTCCCGAAGGCAGAGAGTGTTAGTGCCTTGCAAATGTTATCCAAACATCCAAACTGTTAATCAACACACAAGAGGTAAATTTACAAAGACACGTGCATCGAGCGTCAGTGCAGAATGAGATGTGGCTAGAAAAAAAAAAAAAAAAAAAAAGAATAATGGCTTCCATTTTATTTTCCTTATCTCCCCACCCTAGTGGTAAGGCAGGTTGAAGTACTAAAATGACATAAGCAAAATCTTTAGGTTCTTGGCTCCACCCAAAAGTCACGACTATTACAAGGGCTCCATGAAATGACAGAGAGCAGGGGTCTCCAAACTTATCAAGCAAAGGGCCAGTTTACTGTACTTCAGACTTTAGGGGCAGACTGTGGCCAGTGGGAGTACAAAATGTCCTTCCTTCATTGGGAGCAAACAAATCTCAGTCTTTGGTATGGGGGGGGGGGGGAATAGTGCCCCATCGTTGGTGTCAGTGGAGGGCATAGTGCCCCAGGGGCCAGATAAAAGCAAACAAAGGGCCTCATTTGGCCCCTAGGATGCAGTTTGAAGACCACTGTTCTATAGAAAGTAATAGGAGTGAGATTTCCCTGCTTGGCTTTCTAATGGCTTCAGTGAAAAGCCATGATGAAAAGTACAGCAAATGTATCTTGCCGCAAAAGGCCATGATTTATATTAAATGCCAGTTGGATATTTAATATAAATGGGTGCAGTGATCCTTCTAAAGACAACCTGTACTTTGCCCACGCAGGGCAAAGCAAAAGGTTCATTTATATGCCACCTTTTCCTAGCTGCACAAGCTTTTTTTACATTGACCATACAATTACAATCTAATTTTGCAATCCAAATTAGATCTACCAACAAGTGCAAGGGCCTGCCTACCTGGATACAAAATGATTGGATAGCGAAGGATAGGTCCTAGGATTACATCATTTTGGTAAATCTAAAGTCATTTGTTCAGAGGTTGTAACATGTGGAGAGCCTTAGTCCCGGGCGCCTCTCCATTTGGCTGCTGGGAACAAAGAGAGGAAGCCTTAGAGCTTTTATAGTGCTGACAGTGCTGGGGTTTGAGCTAAAGGCAAAAAAGGAGTGTTATAACCACTGACCTATTTTGGCATCCCAGTTGTCCCACACTGGTGAGATTTCCCTTCACATTCTGCCCCACAGTAAAAACAGAAAGTGACAGGAAATCTCTGGTCATCACCAGGGTCTCCAGAACTAGTGTCCTCAATGGAACATTTCCCCTCTAGTCTTGCTCTGGTGAACAACCAAAATTTTGGGTTTCTTTCATTCTCGATGATGGTAAACAGGATGAACAGAGAGGGTGGATCTCTCCCTAATGGGAACACAGACAGCACTACAAATCTGAAAGGTGTTCTAATCCTTCTTCATTCTATTAAAAACTAGAAAAAAAAGTTTTTACCTTTAGTTATACTTTGAGCAAGCCTGTGACTTTACTCTACATGGGCAAAACCTTTAAAAAGCTAAACTTCTGACAAACCTGTTTCAGGTTTTGGATAGTGAGAGGTCAAAAATCATGTCAACATTCAATTGCAGTTTTATCCCCATTGCAGAGATTTCTCCTCACTCAGACATAATAGGACATGAAGAGAATTCACTCCCCACCCCCTGCTCAGGGGCGTATTTACCACAAGGCAAACAAGGCATTTGCATTTTTCAGGGGGGCAGCACCGCCACCCAGAAGAAGGGACGGAAGAAAAGACACACGTGGCATGGGAGCAGGTAGGATGAAAGAGGCTGTAGGCTACTTGACGGTGTATGCAGAGCCTGACTCTCATTCCCAGGGATGTCCAGAGCTGCGAAGGAGAGTGTCTCTCTTTCTCTAGCGCCGGGGAGGAGGGGTTGCTGGTGTTTGGAGAGAGGTGGTAGTGGTAGCCTCTCTTAGAAAGGGACAGGGGTGTTGTTGGTCAATCAATGTCAGGCTCTCTCTGCGGGGAGGGGGGGGGATTTTTGTGTTGCCTAGGGCAGCACAAAACCTAAATACGCCACTGCCCCCCGCCCCAAGTGTGGGCACAGGCAGAAGGAAAAACAGTTTTTTAGCTTTCAAATAGAGTGATGAAAATGTAAAACTTTTCTCAGGGTTTCACTGTTGTCTGTACCTCTATTCAGGAGATATCTTCTCACTTTCCTGCCAGGTGAAAGGTTTCAGACATGAGGGGAAATCTCAAATGGGACACAGACAACATTAAAAACTGCCTCTGAATATACACCTGTCTAAAGTGAAAAAGCGGTTGCCAATGATCAGCTAAATTTACTGCACTGGGTACATAATGCTGCATTTTGAATTTTAGGTGAACTAGTGTAGGATGAACATCCATTAATAAATTAATCACAGTGAGATCTGCACTTGATAGCCCTTGAATAACTCTATGCATCGTCTTTGTAAATTCCCCATAGGATGCAGACTGGCTGTTTATCGTGCTTCCACAGAAAGCAATTAATAGGACACAAAGGTGACAGAGGAGGTTAACACCGGGAAGTGGTGAGGTTAGTTACAAGGCAGGTCGGTTTCCAGGAAGTGACTTGTTATCGGGAACAGAGGCTGTGGCAACAGGCTGCCACAGGTCAAGAAAGACCACTTACTGACGTTGCCACAGACTGCCAGGCAGTATTCCTCGGAATCAAAGTTGTTGCGGTTGCCACCGCAGCCTCCATATATGAACGGTACGCATTTCCTCTCCGTGACATCATAGTACCATCGGGTGATCATTGCTCGGCAAGGGCCAGTCTCAGCTTGCTCAGAACACACCTCTATTTGCAAAATGTGGAGGAACCCAATTTAGTTTGAAAGCAGCATGGCATACAAACACAGCTAAAACAATTTTCAGGTCAGGTTCACCAACAACTGATATCTCGATTAGGATAGAAGCTGAAATATCCATTGATTTCTGATTTTCTGATGCTCCCAGCTATGCCCCTTTTCACACTGGAGACCCTCACCTCCTGCGGCATTTAAAACATAAAACCGGTAAAACAAAATCCAGTGGGAAAAGGCTAAGCCAATACCTATTTGTTGGAGAAGGCAGACAAATTCTGGTGTACAGATCTCACCAATGGAGTCCCTGATAAATAAAACATTGTGGGGAGTAAACTGGTTGGCATCTATCGAAAAGGAAAGCACCAATTTTGGGAGAACCATGCCTTTAAGGAAGAATTAATTGAAGGGCTGTGACTTCCTGTGACACCCAGAGCTGGGATGAATCCAAGCAGACTGTGGTGCATATCAAAAGAGTTCTCGGCTTTCAAGATGTGTGCACAGCTGCGCTACGGCACTGCCAATTAACGCCATATTTCCAACCCGCAAAGACAATTTGCTTTATAGGAAGAAAATGGCATTAGATTATTACAATTCACTAGAAAGCGCCATTTACATTTGCAATTATCAAAACAAACTGCTTGCTATAACCCTTTTCAGGCACTTTGATAGTCTGAACAAAACAACAGTTGTGCATGATGCTTCTCATGTGTAAGAGCTCCCTGTAAATACGCCACCTAAGTGCCAAGATTAAATCCCCTTTTGTCTGCTTTGCCCACTCTGACTACTGGATGGCTAACCAGCAGCCAGATACTTCCTGGCAGTCCAGAAAAACCCCCGGAATCTCCAATCTATTGTGGGACTCAAGAGGTAATCATCATCGGTACAGCAAGATACTGCAAAATGCTTGGAAATAACAATAGAAGGAAATATTGACAGTTATAGAGCATTCCACATCAGGCAATAAAAGCCCTTTAAAGTGAATCTAGACTCGGGTAGACCTAAGCTTCAGAGAGTGAAAGAAATATCAGTTGTGAAAGATACAGAACTTTCAGTGGACAACCCCAGGCTCTCAGACCACTTTGTTATCCACTCAGCAATGATATGTAGCCGTGAGAAGGCCATCATATTATTGGAGGTGCAAGCTGTCACTGAGGAGCTCCTCTTGTTACTAGACCTGAGGACACCATCAGTGTTATCCCATGAACAGAGGCAGGTGTGGGCAAAATGTAATGATGACATCAAATTCCTGAATCACTTTGGGTTCCTAGGCAGTGTTTACATGTGCTATTTTGCTTAAAATTATTTGCCAATCGTACATTTTTTTCTGATTGCACTAAAACCTTAAATTGTGCCAAAGAACTGGTTAGCCAAACTTTAGCTTTTAGGTATACGTCTGGCTGAAAATTCCTAATACCCAAAACCTGCAACATTATTTTTCAGCATACAATATCAAATATAAGTTTGCCAGGCTTTTGTCATAAACATGCCTGCCTGGACAGAAACTACAACTCTATACACTATTTCTATGAAAAAATTATAATATCAGAAAACAGAATAGAGTAAAGGAACTTAGCAAACTGGTACTATCAAGTGACAACTTACACACAAAGGAACACTGGACAAACTGTACCATCTGAAATGAAGTCAGCCTAATTATGTGTAAGTAGCAAAGTAGTGCTACCAGGCTATACCTCTTAAAATTTTACTTACAACTTCATTTCTATGTTTGGGTGAAGTCAGCCAACATAAAAAAATGGAAATGAATGCTAATAATAGCAAAGCAAACATCTGCATATAAATTATATATACACAACGTGCTGTATATATATTTATATACGCAAAAATAAGTAACACTATTAAAAGGATATCACCATTTGTTAAGCCCAGTACACACCATTTTTTTTTTTCATTCAACCCAGTGGGCTAAATGGAATAAAACTGACAGCTCAGGGGGAACCGCTGTCTGATACTAGTACAGTGATCTCCCCTGCTGTACTATTGTGTTCTGACCGGAGGGATGGTTCCCCCACACACACACACACACGAGAACACTAGTCAATGACTAGGAGAGCTGATCGGGTGCCAATCGGCAGACCTTTTTCAGTCATGCCCCTTCGACAGAAACCAGCCAAGAGACCGGCTGCCATACACACGGACTGAAGGTTGGCAGGTTTCTATTGAACTAGCTGATGCCGCCCAACATTTGGCCCATGTGTACTAGACTTTAAACAGTTAATGCTAAGTGGTGTTTTCTAAGGTAAGGCAACTATTGCACCATTACTTACCATGGTGCTTTTAAAGGAGAGGTCAGTTGGTGTAAAGGTCCCATGCTATTTCCCATCAATCACTGCCATTAAGACAGTTCTATTAAAGAATAAATGTAAGTCACATCCCTGCCCACAGATTTCCCAGTAGAGGGGAGAAAACACAGGGGTGGAACTCTAACTCCAGTGTTCTAATTGAATTAGAACACAATCTTAACAGCAGCAGTGAGGGGAACTGAATGGGATCTTTACCACCCTTGAAACTTACAGTTCTATAAAAAATTATAAGAATAGACCATTAATACACACTGCTTACGATGGCTGTTAAAATGATGTGTAGAATTTTATAAGGGAATACATTCTAAAATTACCTCTTACAACCTCTTCCACAGATTCTGTGGTGGTGGTAGTGGTTGTGGCAATGCTTGTGGTCCTCTCAGTAGCTTCTTCAAAGATTTCTTCAGGCTCCTCCACATCCTCACCATCATCCTCATCGTCGTCAACCTCTTCCTCCTCCACTTCCACTACATCTTCTTCCTCTTCTTGACGAGCTTGTGCATTTTTGTCATCACTGCAATACAGTCAACATTTTTCAGTGTACAGAGAAATTAACTAAAGGATGTACAAACAAGCATGTAAAATATGGCAATCTGCTAAATATAGTCAAAATTAGCAAAGGTAAATTGGCAAAGTATACAGGACATATGAAACTGCCACAGTCCAGTGCTATTCCAATTTTCATGAGTTGAGAAAAATCCCCCTTGTGACCTGTGTACTTAAACTTTGCTACAGATTCCTAGTTTTTTTTTTTTGAAGAGTAAAAAGTCAGAATACTTACCTTTCCTGTTCCACCAATTCAGCTCTGATGTTGATAAATCTTGTGCGGAAGTCGGCACTGAAACTGACACTTCCAGGGTTTGTCCATCTCCTGGGTCCCATGCAGCTCTCACCATCTCCTCTTTCTGTCCTCTGCCTATCACAGCATACAATAGTGACATGGACATCAGCAAGCAGAACCAGAGCTGTAGCCCCCTAGGACCCCTTGAGATCAATGATCTCACAAATGTTTGTTTACTTTCCTACTACTGTAGAAGATATCGCAGCAGACTCTGACACATGGACAGCTGTAATAGTTATGTATACACTGATATTTAATATTAAAATATATTTATTATATTGACAAAGTTGCTTTAAAGTGGTTGTAAAGGATGAAGGTTTTTTACCTTCATGCATTCTATGCATGAAGGTAAAAACTCTTCTGTGTGCAGCAGCTCCCCCAATACTTACCTAAGCCTCATCACGATCCAGTGATGTGAATGACAGCCTTGACTGTCCCGGGTCTCTGCCTCTTCATGGGCTGAGACAGCAAGTGGGAGCCATTGGCTCCTGCTGCTGTGAATCACAGCCAATGAGGAGAGGGGGTGGGGCTAAGCCATGGCTCTGTGTGTGAATGGACATACGGAGGAGCAGAGGGTGTCCCCATAGCAGGCTGCTTGCTGTGGGGGCACCTGACAGACAGGAGAAGCCAGGAGAGCCTGCGGGGGACCATGGAATAGGAGGATCCAGCCGGCTCTGTGCAAAACCACCGAACAGCAGGTAAGTATAGACATGTTTGTTATTTTACAAAAAAAAATAATTAACCTTTAGAATTGCTTTAAAGCCTCTCACAGTGAAATGTTTCTTAAAGCATATGCTCCACTGAACATATTCTGCACTTGCAATATCTAAACCAATGTTTCTCAACCTTTTTTCCAGTCAAGGCAGCCTTTAAAATTATGGATGGTCTCAAGACACCCCATTCTAAAATGTAGAAACTAATAGTTTTAAATAATGCAGCAGCCTCCACACACACAAGACCCCAACATTGGAGGGGATTTTTTTTTAAAGCAAACCCACTTTTGCCCACTGGTGCCAACCAGTATTCCACCATATTTTTCTTTCTCATTTTCTCTCGCCTACGCAGCTAACATGACTCCAGTGCTGACAGAGAAAATCCCATTCCATGTCCCAACCATGAATGGTTGCATGTTCTCTTATTTCTGTAGGTACCATTCTTTATTTCCTAAGACATAACATTTACAGCAGTGTCTAGAGAACAAGGTGTTAAAGCAAAGTTAAGCAACTTAGCTGAAAGCTGCCGGCAACAGCAGCTTAAGAATTTGAATATTCAAGTCTAGTGTAGCTCAGAAGAGCTTGCATCTCTTGGGAATTGCTAAAAACGTATGTATTAATCCCACAATTCCACATCAAGGATAATGGAAACATAATTTCTGAAAACGGTTAAAAGAAATCAGGTAATCAATTATTTTTTTTTTTCGTTCCTCTTGGTCAGGATTCATTATAGAGCTGTAACTAAGTGCAACACTTGTTCCCAGCAGGACTCTGAAATAATAACCCAAGCAGCCTCCAGGGTCACTTTTCATATCTTTGATGTCTTAAACTTCAGTCTTTTACCTGACAAAGTTGAGCAAACCATTTAAAAGCTTAATCCGTAAATTTTTCGTCTAAAATTCAGCTTCAGCTTTTAGTGTTGCAAATCGTTATACGAGCCGAATATGACGTGGGCTAAGCATCATCAGAATTTCTGCAGTTCTATCACACAACAGTAAAGGAGAAACACTGGCTATTACACACATAGTTCTGTTAAGGGTCTTTCATAATTCAAACTTCACATTAATCAATAAGGGA